GGAAAAACGTTCGTGAAATCGTCAATATAATGCCCCGTTATGCTTGACTCGAGTTTAACACCGAAGGAAGAGAACACAACGAATCGCGAAGATTAATACAAAAATAGGAACAAACGTATAAGCATACAATAAGGAACATATATCATGTACAAACGTAACGCACAAGGAACTTTATGCTAGAATGATTCATAGTGTACGCAATCGTGTGTGGATGCTTCGCCTCTTCCATTTCTTTCTTCTGTTTTTTGTTTTTCCTTCCTTTTTGCTTTACCACATTTTCGAGAGAAAAAAAGAAAAAAAAGGTTTATATACTATACCGCGTGTTGCGCGTTGTCACGAAAGATAAAACGACAGAAAGAATCACCAGTGACATGATTAAATTAAGTAACGATTGTCTCGCGGTTTTCGAGTTTTTTTCAAACACGCTATTCCCTCGAACGATCGCATGCGCGGCCAAATGAAGTGATCGCTCGATGATTGGACGTGGGTACGCGCTGTGCTGTGTATGGTGGTATCGTACGACAGAATCGATAAATGATACGAACGACGAGCGAAACAGCGAGAAAGTACGCTCGAAGAACAACGAGAACAATGTTTCTCGCGCGAAATTATTCTAAATCCGATTGTTATCTCATCGGGAGACGCAAGTCGATCACGCATTTCTCGCATTTTGAAAAATCGTAACACCGGTCATCCTTTGGACTCGTGTTTATCGTTCGACGAACGCAAAAAGACAGTTTCGTTTGTTCCTTCCCTTCTTTCCTCGCACTCGATGTTCACAGAGCAAGCAAAAGATAAAAATAAAAAAGAATAAAATTCGTTCGAAAGATCGGGGCAACGAAGGGCCTGTGCGTTGGCGTTCGATCGGGCTCCGCGCTTAAAAGAATCTTTCGAATCTACAAAGAGATAAATCCGGTCTCTTATACACCCACACCCTCTCATCTCTCCGCATTCGATATATCATACCACACTCTTTTTCTCTTTCTCTCACTCTCTCTTTCTTTTTCTCCTATCTCGCATACGCTTGCACAATACGTACTTACGATATTTACTTCTCTTACAATATTTTTATATTCATTTATTCTATTAATTATATCAATACTGTTGACGGATAGAGATTCATTCACAGCTCGCACCAGAGCGAACGATCGTCTCTGCCGTGCGCGGCGTAACCGTTTTCTCATTCAACTTAATTCGATTTCCTTCGTCTCTCATTTTTTTTTCTTTCTTTCTTTCGTTCTTTCTTTCTTTCTTTTCGTCTATCTTGTCCTCTTCTGCCTCTTTTCCTTCATGTTCGTTTCACCGACAGTCAATATCATCCTCCTATTTTTATTTCTTTTTTTTTTTTATTTCATTAATATACTTTGTTTCCTTTTTTTTTTTTTTTTTTTTTT